TGTATATTAATTATCCAACTGTGCTGTAATCACTGCTGAGTAAGTGTTTTATATAAGTCATTTGTCACAACTACGGTTATTATGGCGTGGATGCCTTTTCTAAGTTGATGTAGCATGATTGTAATTAAATATGTTTGTCATAAGACATTAGTTTTAGACCTATATAAATAATATTCTGACTACTACTATATTTGTTGTATTCTAGCTAGCCTGATAAGCACGTGATTGGAAATATGGTGGACAAAGTGTAGCTTATATACAATGATACACTCCTCTTCTTCTTTTTGATAACCACTTAGGGACTGAATTAGGACTATAGTGTTTAAAATATGATAGGTCTAATAGTCATGCCTTATGACAAATATAATTATTTATAATCATGTAAAAAATCGTCTAGTTTCTGATGTTTGAGTGACTAATATGCCACACATACTCCCATATTTATCTATTCATCCATCTCATCATACACCAAATTTACTAATTCAGTACATCTGAAATATAACATTTTCTTCCCTAAATAAAAGTGGCTAATCCAGACAGCATATTCAGGTATGTTAAATGTTACTGTGTAAATTATTGAATGTCGTTTTGGAAATTGATCAAACCAAAGAATGGGTATTGGACTACATTTTAAAAACTGATGATGAAAGTACAACGCTTGTGTACCTAAAACAATTATTCTTTCAGTAGAAATTTTACACGTTGCTATTCTGGCATATTTTGTAGAGATATAAATGCCAAAAATACATGATGAAATTTCAGAATCTTTCTTTAAGAAAAAAGAAACTAACAATCTCTTTATAAGAAATGCCGATAAAACTTCCAGAGCATAAATTATATTTACGGTAAGTCTTAGCTTTAGTTGTCTTATGCTTATTTTTTTGTTTTTTGGTAAGTTTTATTTGCACCAGTACTTTAGCTTAAAAAAGGTTGATGATTTTGCATGGGTATGACCGTTCTTTTTCAATAATAGGGCACAGAATTAGAAATAAACAAGAAAATATCCAACTATCTTAAATCACTTTTAGCAAAGCTGTTTTTTTTCCCCGTAAAATACTTCAAATGGCAGACAAATGTTTTACTTTGCAAATAGGGTGGACTGATGGACAACATCCTCAATGTTTTCAGCCAATGCATCTAACAACATGTCAGCTAGGACGAAAGGGTGTGTGTGTGTGTGTGTGTTTAGTGCAAAGCTATATAATGGAATATCTGCATTCTGGCCACTGCTGGGAATCGAACCTCGGATTTTAGGGTGTAAGTCCGTGAATTTACCTCTGGCCCCCATTAGGGGACAGGATGAAAAGATAAGAATTTTACTGCAGGGATTTCAGATTCGATGACGAGGAACCCAATTTGAGATTAATAATGCTTGGAGATGGCTTGAATGGGTAATGATG